CACACATACACACACACACACACACACACACACACACATACACACACACACACATACACACACACACACACACACACACACACACACACACACACGCGCGCGGGTCCAACCCGCTGTTTTTTTTTTTTTTTACTTTTTCTTTTTTGTGATTGATTGATTGATTGATTGATTGGTGGGGAAGGGGTCGCCCTTCCCCCCCGCACATGCACACACACACACACACAGACACGAAAAATTAAAAATTCATTTTTTTTAATTACGTTTCTTTTTTGTTAAAATACTTAATTTTTGGTTTTCTATTTTTTTTTAATTGAAAAACACTTCATAATCCAAAAAAACAAATATGGGGTTGTAGGTACTTTCAAACCCTACAATCCCATATATATATCGTCAAATAGAAATTTATTTTTTGAAATTTATTTAATAGGAAAAAAAATTTACAAAATTGGGACCGCGGCCCCCCGCCCGCAGCCGACCTAAGTGGTCGGGATCCAGACCGCGGGCCGAGATTGACCCCGCGGTCATGACCGTGGGGGATTCATAAGACCACTAGCACGTTCTTTGCCCGTTGCCCCACGCCGTTTCTTCCGCAAACCCTCCGATTTTTCAGCACTTGCACCACTACGGCTCTCGCCTTCTGACGAGTCATGCCCACTCGGTGTTTCCTTATCGGAAACACCACTTTCAGCACCCTGCAAGTTTGATGATGCCATGGTATTGTCGCAAGCCACTGGCGGCTTTCGATGTGCCCACTCCATCTCCTCCCACAGCGGCTGCTCAAACGTCGTCGGGATTCCCTCCCTTTTCCTATTTTCGACGCTCATCTCCCAATATGAGGGCTTCCCCGACGCGTTACACTTGCGCAGGATGTCCTTCATCTTGCTCATGAGGTCGCACCACTTCTTCCTGCAGTCTTCCGCCGACCTGATCCAACCTGCCGCCTTCATTTTCTTGGACACCCACTTATTCCTCACTGGCCTTCTCGCGTGCTTCAACCGACCTAACGCCATTTGCATCATGGCGCTGTCCTCCTTCATGAACCTCGCCAGATCAATGCGCTCCTCCTGCAGCCATGGCCTGGTTCTCCTCCTTCCTGGCACCTCCCCTCCCTCGGGCCGCGTGGCATCATCATTTATATCCACTTCGCTCCCACTTTCAGGCACCCGTCCCCCAACACTGCCCCTCCTTCTTGGTCGTCCGGCCTCTCGTCCATGTCACAGTTCATCCGGCACTGTCGGATGTGACTCTTCTTCCCCGCGTGGCACGTTGGGTGATGGATCGCGCCCGGGTCGCACAACGTCCAGCAAGCGGGGACTGCATCGGTCGGCCATGTCTCCATGATCCCTTGCTGATAGGGACACACCGACTCCCTGCCGCATCCTCTGCACATCTTCAGCGACACCACCCCCAACAGTGCGGAGGTTTGCCCACGCCCTGTCCACAACGACGGTGCGTAAGCGATCGACCAAATGGGGCTGCATATAGGCAGGAGCTGGAGGAGGAATAAAGGAGGCGCCTTGGGAAGGTTGCGAACCCGGAGCCACCGGAATCCGTGTACTGTCGACGGGGCCACGTGCAATTCCACCCACCGCTGCCGAAGGTGGAGGACGAATGCACGTACCAAGGTCCGGAACTGGTCTGGGCAGTGCATCCATGCCAGATGCAAAGGTAACCGGGAGACGCATGTGCGCAGGTGATTGAGTGGCATGCTGAGCCCAGATCTCCGGGTCCGACGTCATACACGACAACCCCATGGAGAGTTGGGCTTCGAAACTGAGGTTCTTGTCCTGCATGTATCCTGGAAACTGGTTGCGTGGCCCTCCCGAACCGGGTATGTCCGACGCCCATCCACTGCCATCCATTCATGCGACGTAAACGCCTGCCCGCACCGCCTTCAGATACACTTCCGGTGTAACAAAACGCAGAGGCCGACCAGTAGCAGGACAAGGAAGACGAACAGCGTCACCACGATGGCAATGATTGCACCTATGAAGAAGAAGACGATGGCCACGATGATAGTCGACCACCATTGATGGACGTGGGATTTAGGCATGTGGACACCAGAAGAGGCTGGTGCGAAGCATGTCTGTGCACAAAAGCAACGACAAGACGAACAGCCCGCCCACTGTCCATCCCACTCGCGTCTCCGCACCACCATCGGACTGAACAAAACCACACGTGTGGAAGGAGAATGACAGGTTCGCGCGCTCACCCCTCCTTTGCCAAACCGCACACGAGGGAGGACGCCGAGGAGTCGACCACCCGGGCCGGCCACAACAGTGTTCGTTTGTCCACATGAAGGTGATGGAGATGGCCGCACAAGCACATGATGGAGAAACTGACTGCCAACAACCCGCCTCATGTCGCTCGCAACCTTCGCCACTCTATAAGGGATTGCGATCCTGGCGCAAGCAACATGATGGTGGTTGCATGCACCCCATGAAGCTCGTCGACATCCCTCCCACAACGTCTGTCAGCCATCAGCAAAAAAGGTGGGGCTTGAGCCCACCCGACTCCATAGCCGCGTAACCGAGCGACGCATGGATCCCATGCACATGTACATGGCAACCACAAAAGACGAGGATGTGGGTGAAGGACCGTCAATGGCAGCACTTAACAACAACAAAAATTGCACCGTCTGCATGGGTATGCTCTCTGCATGGACGTAGACTCGCCGGGGCCATGCTGTACGAGTCTTGGAAGAGCGTGATGATATGCACGACACACCCGGGGCACACATCCACAGGTGCCACCCCCCCGCAACCTTTTCGAATTTGAATTCAAAAAAGGATGTGTCCTTCCCGCTGGCCAAAGGCCAACGGACAAAAATGCCCTTCCGTGCGACACGACCTCCCCACAGACTTCCAACCTCGTGTTCCCGAGTGGACCACATCGTTGTCCGCTGGTTCATTGCTCTCCCTGACTCTGCTGGCGACGGAAGAGGTCCCCAAGGGCTAGCCTTCCCGGTGGGCAGTTTTTCCCGGAGGAGGCACGGTCCACGTAGGCTAGTCAAGGCCGCAGACCGAGTGGAAACGCCCTGGCGTACTCTTCTCGGCCACTTTCTCCGACCCGTGGGGTCCGCTGACCTGCTTCGTGGAGGCTCGCGTTGAGAACTGCCAGCCTATGGGGTCCCACCCATAGTCTGGTTGCATGGACTTAACCCGTGGACTTCAGTTTTAGTAGTGTCGTAGCTGCTACAGTTCTGAAAGGTCAAGTCCTACGTAGCCTAGGACGTTTTAGATGAATCCCACTGGCTCTTCGTAGGATCTAGGAGTCAGTCCATAGCTGAGTCAGAGGAGGGCAGTCATAGCCTAGTCAGCAGAGGGCAGTCCCAGTCCTAACCTAGTACAGTTAGCAAGTACCAAGTGGGATTGACTTACCGTGAGGGCACGGGTGCGCAGCCCGTAGTTCGTTTGTTTATGTGGTTCGGGAAGGGTAAGGTAGTGATTATGCTATATGTATGTTTTGTCATGTTCGCTATATATAACTCGAAGAGAGTGTGTGTGCGGTCCCGGTTGGTGCTTTATTGGCGATGTTCATGGGACGCTGGACCCAGTTTCCAACAGGTGGCGCTCCCCATCAATAGACAAGAGAATGTATGTGCGTGTGTCACAGTGTGTGTGTGTGTGTGTGTGTGTGTGTGTGTGTGTGTGTGTGTGTGTGTGTGTGT